GGTTGGAGAGCGTAGGGGGTAGACTACCTCTACTCCCCCCCCCCTCTTTTTTCTCTCTGGGAGGAGGAGGAGGGGAAGGGGGCTTGCCGAGCAAGCGATGGATGAGGAAAACATGACGAAAAGCGAGGAGCAGCAGCCTCTGAGTTTGCAAAAAGCCTTACAGCAGTGCGAGTTGGTCCAAAACATGATAGACCTGAGCATCTCCAACCTGGAAGGGCTTAGGACCAAATGTGCCACCTCCAACGACCTTACACAAAAAGAGATCCGGACCCTGGAGGTAGGTGTCGCCTATGGGGGGAAAAGGCAATCTTTCCTTCCCGTTCCTTGCTCCCCACCACCCCCTTTCCTTTGATTCTGTTTGTTTGGTGGGGGGGAGGGTGTGGGAGGGTGGCAGGGCGGGCACGATTTGGTTTTCTGTGATTTATCTTCTTTGCAAAGCCTGCACTGGATGTCCCTTGACTGTGCCGCTGTCATCTACGCTTGGCTGGATGTTGGTAGTAGTAGTAGTAATTGTTATTCTTTATGTATTATTATTCCTGCGGCTGTTGTTATCATTTGTTTCCTCTCCGAGGAGTGAGTTCTCTCTTTTTTCCGCTTGTGGATTTGTTTATATGCCACGGGGGCTTGTGTGCTGGGTAAGACATTAAGGCGCTGCAGAGAACCCACGTGACCTTGCGCATTCTGCAGGTGGTCAAAAGGTGGTTTTTGCTCCCAGAACGGGGCTGCCTATAAGTATAGACCTTTTCTGCTCTGGGCCTCCTTCACAACTCCGCGATTGCTGCTTGGAATTTGTTTTTGTTTTTGTTTTATTTCAGTGATATACATGTCAGGAGGCAAGATGCATTAAAAAAAAAAATCCCCTTTGAGCTACCCGTTTCCAAATCAAATCGTTTGATGCAGGGAGCTGTTGCAGGCCTGAAACGTGTAAAAAGATAACAAAAAAATATGCCTGGATCAGCACACACAAGTGGTGTAGGAAAATACTCTTGAATCTCCATAGGACGGTGAGGAGAGGGGTCGGAGGAGGAGTCATCGCTGGCGAGTTGTAACATTGTCTCCAACAGAACTTGAGGGGGAGTTTGAAGCAGTTTGGGGGGTGGGGTTCGATGCAAAGTTACTCAGAAAGAAGATGGCAGAATTTATTTCTTCCAAAGGCCATTTGGTCAAAGGAGGAAGGTTTCAAGAGCCGTAGAAAATGTCTGGTGTGCACGTAATCACTGGGCATCCACGTTTGTTGGAAACATCCGAAGGGTTCCACTCACTTCTCCTTCAAACCAGCTGTACACACGGCTTGATTAAATTTGGGAACTCCTATTAGCTGGCATTTGCTGAGGGTGGTGGCTGTGGGGCTGGAAGCAAAGTCAAGGGGTTCTCCCTCTGGCGAAGCAGGCATGTGCAGTGCTGGGGAGGTTCCCTGTTTCCAGCCCACGGGTTTCCAAGGCCTGACCTCTTCAGCCCCTACTGAATCTTGGAGCCCTGTGCCTGGGTTCCAGCACGGATGAGCACCGCTGTCTGATTTGCTTTTAAGTCTTTTTTTTTT